TGGCAGGCTTGAATTTTAGACAGGTAAATACTTTCATCAATACTAAATGCACTTTAAAATCCAGTTTTATAATTAGAAGATATGTAGCCTTTGAGACCATTACACTTCACTGAGTAAGAATTGTTTCTAAAATCGGCTGTCCAGAAGAAGAGGAAGGCATGTGGGAGAAAGGGTGTAGCTGCTTTGAAAGTCGCATCTACCTACGCATTTATTGATGAGTGTGGGAACCGACTCTAGTGGAAAAGAAACTGACAGAATGGAGTGATTCAGTTATGATTTACGAGAGCAAACCAAAAGCCTGATTTCAGTCATTGATTTTTATCACCTTTCCACATTTTTTGTTTTGTTTTTTTAAAGAAAGGTGTATTTTTAATTCCTTGATATGACAATTAAAACATTGATTTACAACTAAATAAGTTTTTACAATAGATTTGGTACATATGTTGCCTGGGTGCACAAACCAGCTATATTTATGTATTTTAAAAATGTATAGCTTAAAATATTTGGATGGGTAGAAATCCCACTTTTTAGTATGCTATAAAATGGTGAAATATATATTTCTTATTCACTAGATAATTAACTTTTTGTTTGTTTGTATCAAGCTTTATTAAGATGGTAACTTGTATTTGATTAAATACACAAAACCAGCACTTTATTAAACAAAACTTTAATGGTTTGGATACAGAAACCTTTTTCTAGCTAAGTATGGTGCCCTTTTACAACTAGCTCATTTATTAAACACTAATATTTCATAGATTTCATAGACATTGGGGCTGGAAGGGACCTTGGAAGATCATCGAGTCCAGCCCCCCACCTGAAGGGCAGGAAGTCACCTGGAGTCATAGGATTAACTGTTATAATATTAGAAGTATGAACTCTGGTCAGTGAATTAAACCAATTATTTCAGGTTACCCTGGGAAAAATGTCTAGGTGAAAGTCAGTTGAGCTTAAGTTCATACTTGTCTAACTATTTCCCTTTAAAATTAAGCAGTCTTTTTCTACCTAGGCTGTTTTAAAAATGTTCTCCCCCCTTTCAAGTTTCCAGAGCTTGTACATCTCCCCCTCCTCCCCCTTTTTATTCCTAGACTGGAAGAGAAAAGCAAGCTGTCCTGCTTGGTCAACTCCCAGTTGATTTCTCCACTTTGAATGAACCCGCCCAAACGAAGCAAATATTCTTTCTTCACGCGCCAAAGAGACTGCTGCTGTTCAACACGCTCTGAAGTCCAGGTGCTTTGCTAGGGACTTCAACCAGTTCAGCAGTGACTTGCTTTAAAACCCCCTCATCAAACCATGTACTGCTCTCATGGCTCACCTCACGCCCTGAAATGTATTACGGTTGGCATGATCGATGGCGGTTAGTAGGTGTCGTGTCAGAATAGCATGTTCCTTTTTATATAGCATCAGATCCTGGTTTTCTCTGTTTAAAAATTATAAATTCTCTGATTTTAAATTAACCCCCCAAATTTTCATATTAAAAACCCAGAATATGTGTTTTTCCATGATTTAAAATAAAACACCT